AGGGTAGTGACCTCTCCTCCCACCTTGGATCAGCAGCAAGCTGGTCCTGAGCAGCAGCCACACGGAGCAGGAGCAGCGGGTTCCGTCCCATCTCAGTCCCAGCAGGACTGTAGAGCATCACTGGCTCTCTTCTCCTAGGCCTTGCCCTTGACAATGACCAGGACACCAGCTGGGGCCTGTGGCTGTGCAGGTGCAGAGGAGGAGCTGGGCCCACAGAGTGAGTGCCTGTCCAGATGAGACAGCCTGGGCTGGAGCCCAGCTTGTGCTCCTGAGAGCAGCAGGCAGAGCCAAGGAGACCCTGTCCTGCTCACTGTCAAGGTCCTGAGGCCCACCCCAGCTCAGCAGCCTCTCAGATCACTCCCTGTGCTGGCCTCCATCTCAGATGCTACAAGAGAAATTCCCACAATGGGTTAGAGGCTCTGGGAATAACGGAGGGACAGGTCTATGGCCTTGGCTGTTGACCCCTGCTGCTCCCTGGCCTGGTCAGGGTCCCATGAGGACGCTGTCCAAGGATGGACCAAGCAGGAGGCTGTCCTACAGATGGTGCAGAAATCAGGATGGACTGAGAAGGGGTGGGGGTTGGAGAGAAGCAGGGGGCTGCTGTGGGGCAGGGAGGGCCTGAGCACGAGCCAGCGGGGTGTCCCCAAGTGGGCCCTCCTTTCTTCTGCCCTCACACTGACCCTCATCATCTCCTGAGCTCATATACCTGCCCACCGGCCACACTACCTGGAATTCTCCCAAAGGAAATAGCCTGAAGCAGGCACGTCCGCACCGAGCAGAGACAGTTTCTGCCGCTGGGAGGACAAAGGGGACTGGGTGTGTGTGTGGGGGTGGCTGTAGGTGACCTGCATGAATAAAGGGCACACCCCAGGAGGGGGCAGCAGTTATCCTGGCAGGCAGCTGGGTGAGGGGTAAGAGAAGGGAGTAGGCCAGCGTGACCGTGAAGGTGGCCTCTGCAGTGGTGCCAGACGCAGCCTGGGCAACTGGTGGCAGGGGGGTCACATGTTGGGGTCCCAGGCAACCACTCTGACAGAGCCTTTTGAGATTGTGCAGGGAAGGCCCTGGGTGTGATCCCAGCTGGAGAGCCTGCAGCTACAGTAATGAGCGCCCCTTGAACAAACATTAGATGCCCCTCTCTGTCCTTGCTAGCCAGACTCCTGCAGCTCTGGGCCACATTGGGAATCAGAGTGGGCAGTTCTCAGCCTGATGCACCACCTTGGAGGGGGCAGAGAGATGTCCCAGATGGGGAAACTGAGTCCTGAGTTGGGGAAACTTAGTCCTGAGTTAGCGGCTCCTTTGGTCCTGGAGCTGCCTTGCAAGTGTCTGGTGCTAGGGGACCAGGTCAATCGGCGGGGGACAGCAGTGGGGGCTCTTGTGTGTGGTGGGAGGCTCAGGGCACGCGAGAAGGTGTCTCAGCCTGCGTGTTTACTGGAAGACGTTAGAGCAACCAGCCTGAGTTACCAGTTCATCAAGTCATCCCCCACCTCTCCACCTTGCAGGCTAACAGGTTTACAACCCTCGGTTCTGCCCCAGTCTCAGGACTCTGTCTCCATCACTCTCAAGACACCTGACATCTCTACTGATATCCAGTCCCCAGATCTGTCAAGTAACAGAAGATCCGGGCACATGGAGGCAGCCTGGCACAAGCCAGCCGGTCTCAGCGCTGGGCTCCATGCACACAGAGGGCCTACGGAAGCTGAGCCCCACAGGGTCAAGGCCCCCAGCGAGATTACTGGAAAGAGCTCAGTGCCCTGGAGCCTGAGAGCTAGCTGCCTTGTCCCAGGACCGGGCCACCCTTCCTTCCCACCCTCAACTCTGTACCCCATGCTTCCTTCCCAGGCTGTTCCCACAACATGTCTGTCCTCCCTGCTGCTGTCCGAATGACTTTCTCCACTGTGCATGCTGGCGACCCTGGCATAATGGGGGCAGGGGAGAAAGGGGTTGAGAAGCACAGGCAAGGTCAGGCCAAAGCAGGAGGCCGTGGGAGAAGGAGGCGGTGCCAGAGGCAAACTGGGCTTCGGAGCATCTGGCTTGGGCTCCTGGCTCTTGGCTTGCAGCTGGCCCTGGGGCTGTGGGGGCTGGGTGAGTAGGAGAGGCAGTGAGTGTGGCACTGCTGGCCCAGCTCCGAGGTGGCTAGAGATAAGGAGCAGCTAGTCCTAGGACAGAATCCTGGCAAATAAGCATGGAATATATTGGCCCCGGCACCAGGATCTTATGATTCCTGTGTGCTCCAGGGGACCCTGTGTGACAGGGTTCAAGGACTCAGGGTCCCCCCACCCTGCACATGCTGTGATGGAAACCCCAGGCACAGGCTGGCATGTCCAGTCGCACTCCCTAGCCTCCCTATTTACCTCACCATGGAGGTACGGGGAGGTGTGTGTATGTGTGTGGGTATGTCCTGGCCCCTGCTTTCCACTTTGGGTCCTACCCTTAAGATGCTACCTGCTGGGCCCAGCGCGGTGGTGCAAGTGCCCCAGGATCCCAGATGGGCGCCGGTTCTATCCCAGCAGCCCCGCTTCCCATCCAGCTCCCTGCCTGTGGCCCGGGAAAGCAGTCAAGGATGGCCCAAAGCTTTGGGACCCTGCACCCGCGTGGGAGACCAGGAAGAGGCTCCTGGCTTCGGATTGGCATAGCATCGGCCGTTGCGCTCACTTGGGGAGTGAATCATCAGATGGAAGATCTTCCTCTCTGTCTCTCCTCTCTGTCTCTCCTCTCTGTATATCTGCCTTTCCAATAAAAAAAATAATAAAATAAATCTTTAAAAAAAAAAAAAAGATGCTACCTGCTGGGGCCAGTGTAATAGCTCAACTGGTTAATCCTCTACTTGCAAACATCAGCATATCATATGGGCGGTCCTTGGTGTCCTGGCTGTTCCACTTCCTATTGAGCTTCCTGCTTATGGTCCTGGGAAAGCAGAGGAGATCAGCCCTAAGCCTTGGGACCCTGTACCTGCAAGGGAGGCGTGGAAGAAGCTCCTGGCTCCTGGCTTCGGATAAGCTCAGCTCTGACCGTGGGGGCCAGTGGGAAGTGAACTAGTGTGTGGAAGATCTGTTTCTCCTTCTTTCTATAAATCTGCCTTTCCAAAATTAATTAATTAATTAATTAAAACAACAACAACAAAAAACCTTTCCACCTGCCCAGGCCTGGGCCATCCAGTTCAGCACTGAGATGGACTTTCTGGGCCTTGAGAGGAGGGGGCTAGCCCAGTAGCAGTATGGGAGACCCAACCATGGGTACTGGGACAGAGTGCACAAGCGGGAGGGGACAATGGGCAGGGCAGTGGAACAGTGCTCTGACCCCTGCACACAAGACATCCTCCAGGGCCCCCAGGGCCTCCAAGGTCCGGGGCTGGCAGGGTGGGGGGTACTGCTTGTACCTATTTCACAAGCAAAGAGGCACCTGCACCTACCCTCAACCTCTGGGGAGACTTGGCTGGGGTGGCAGGGCAGGGTCAGGCCTCCTTGCCATGGTTTTGGGGGTTTTGGGGGTCTCTTTCTGGCTCCCCAGCTCACAGGTGCAGCCTGGAATGCTGCTGTGCCAGCCCCACCTCAGGGGGGCCTCTTAGCATCCAGCCCAAAGCTCCCCAGGGGGTGTGGGTGGTGGGGCTTCCTAGGGAATGGTGAAGATGGAAATGCCCCAGGCCAGCCCTCTACCCCTAGTCTTTCCCTTCTCTGGCTGGAGTTCAGGATCAGCAGGGCCTGGCCCGAGAGGTTCCCTGGGGAGGCACAGAGACCTGGAAGCGCCCAACGGCTCCAAGGATCCCCAGAGTGCTGCCAGGGTGCTGGTTGATCCTCACAAGGAGGCAGGACCTGGCCAGGCCTGGGCATGAGGCCTCCCAGGTTCCAGAAATGAGTAGTCTGTCTTCCAGCTGCTTAGAGAACATGGTTACACCTCTCTGAGCACCGAGGGTCCCCCTCAGGCCAACATTTGATGCTCAGCTCCCAAAGGCAGATCACCTACCCCTGGAGCCAGGACCAGACGAGGTTTCAGATCCTCTTTCTCCAGGAAACCCACCTTGATTTCCTTCCCCACCCCACCTCTGCCTTGATCCCCCCACCTCCATTCCTGGTGGGCAGGCCTCGCTTCCTCAGCCTATGTGTGTTCTTTTCCCAAGGCCCCTGTCTATCCTCAGACAGGGAGCTGTTTGAGAGCAGCGTTCCTAACAGCCCAGCACAGTCAGCCTGGCTGGGCCTGTCTGTGTCCTATGTCTTAGCTAGACTACAATGGCCTCAACCCCTGCATCTGCCATTATCTGTCCAGCCTCCATCAGTGCGTCAAAGCTAGCGTCCCTCTCCTTGGCCAAAAAGTGGCAATGCAGATCCCATGCCACCTGTTGTCACCTGTCACCTGGAAGTCCCATGTGACAGCAAGGAGACCTCAGGTGACCCTAAAACACACTTCTGGGCCACACCCAGCCACCTCAACTGCCATCTCCACCTCACCCGCAGCCGGCTTCTACCCGGAGGCTAATGAAAGTTGGGAGATGCCACCCAGGCCAGTGCTCACCCCCCAGCCTGCCAGCACAGATAACTGGGAGATGATAGTGATTTTGGTGCCACATACCTGCTGTCACTTGTTTGTTTTGGTAAGCCGCTGCCACCTGCGCCTGAGGTGGCTGCAGTGCACAGTGAATTGCCTCACCTGAACCTGGCCGGGGTTGGTGTGATCCTGTGGGTAACTCAAGTAACAGTTGGTGTAAACAGCTCAGGAGTTGGGGGTGGGGAGGACGCCAGGGGGAAGGTCATCAGAGCAGCACATGACCCTTCAAAGCCTCCAAAGTAAACGCACCGGCCTGCACCTGCCCTCGTGCTGCCCACTGCCCCCCGCGGCAGTGAGCAGGACCCGTGCAGGCCTCCCCGGCCTGGGACAAGGCCTCCCCTCCATGGCCCCTATTCTGGGCCTAAGCCTTCAGAAGGAGAAACTTGCCCAAACTCCTGGCAGCAGCCCCCTCCAGGACAAATGGCCCCTTCCCACCCACCCTGCACCCCTAGCCGACTCACCTGGGCCATCCACCTGGCGGTCATCCTTCACCTTCTCTGGGGCCAAGGGTTCTGGAGTGTGGCTCAGGGACTCCTTGGACAGTGGCTGCCTGTCTGCTGGGGAGCTGGCAGGGACAGGAAGCAGTGGTCAGGACTGCAGGGTGCCCTGAGGAGAGGTGGCCACAGGCGCCACTGGGGGCCTTCCAGAGCCCCTGGGGGGGGGGGTCCTCCATGGAAGGTGGCCAGTGGGGCCTAGATGGTCAGAGTCCAGGGCTAACAAACCCTGCCTCAATCCTAGCCCCACCCCCTCCCTCAGGCTTTCCATGGCTGGGAGAAAGAACCCAGGGCCCACCATGCTGTGTGACTCTGGGCAAGGTCACGTCGCTCTCTGGGGCTCCATGCCCCATCCTCATCCTCTTTCCCCATCCTCCCCCCCCATTGGTCTTCCAGGTTTGGTCATTCACAGCCCCAAGGGTCTCTAGGCTTCTCAGCTCAGCTCAGCCCCACCGGCCCTCAGTATTGTTCCTCTTTGGGGTGCACCCAGCCATGCTGCAACCCTCCTTGCGAAGTTGGGGGAGCAAGCACATGCATTTGGGTACACACCTCAGGCCTGCACAACGCTGCTGGATTGCCCAAACCCAGGCATTGGCTGACTCCACAGAGCCCACTGCAGTTGTGCAGTGTACAGCATGGGCAGCTGGTCATAGCAGCCCCAAGGATGGGACACGCTGGGGCTCTGGGGAGTCCCATGTGTGTGTCAGCACCCAGGAAGCTGGGCCAATTACCTGCTTCTCACATTCGGCCTGACTCCTTGGTGGTTCTGCAGATTCAAACTAAGTTTGCCAACACACCTGGGCCCACCTGGCAGCCGTCTGTTTAAGAACCTGAGACAGACACCAGGTGGTTATGAAGGGTGGGGTGGGGGACTGGGAGAGGGCAAAAGGTGAGGAGGTGGGGAGGGGTGCTGAGGTGGCCCCTGGTCCAGAACTTGGAAAAGGAAGCCCGAACAACCTTGAGGTCGCTATGGCAACCTGCTCTAGGTGGAGGAAAGCTGAAAAGGCTGTATTTAGGGGGCTCTCTCTGGTTGCTGCAGGACCTGAACTAGAGTCATCTGGGGATAAAGAAGGCTGGGGTGTGACTCACAGCTCCAGACTCAGACAACCAACAGGAAGATTGAGGGAACATGTGCCCAGGGCGCAGATCCCCACATGCAGCACCGTGACCTTTACCCACCAGGCTCCATCCTGGCCTTGATTGACAGCGGGGCTGGGAGCCTTTTGGGAATCCCAGCTGCAGGGCCACCTGCCAATTAACCCCGGGCTGTAATCTGCCCCCATCACAGCTGCCTCCACACGAGGCCCTAGAGTCTGTGTTTAAAACCTTCACCAGTGCGCTAATGACACTTGTGTGTCACGGGGCTCTGGTTTTACAAGAGCTGAACAAAGGCGACACAGGGAAGTCAAGGGCAGCCGCGCGCCAAACCTGCCTGGGACCTGCTTGTTTACAAGGGGAGGAGGACGAGGGCGGGCAGCCCTGGTGCCAGCCAGCGTCCCAGCTCTCGGGGCTCCACCCGTTCCTGCCCAGCAGCCCCACTGGGTTTCTCTCCCGTCTCTTCAAGCAGCAGTGGACCCTGGTCCTGTGCCAGGACACCCTGGGTGCCAAGATGCCCTGGGTCCTGCTATTGGTACCAGGAGAACCTCGGGCTCATGCTTGCTTCTGTGGGATGCGCAGATGGAGAGACGGTGGACACTCCATTTCCAAATGAGCTGAGCTTGCTTTGCCCCCCCCGCCCCCCGCCCCCTTGCTAGGACCTTGGAGATTTGAGGGAGAGATAGAGCGAGAGCCAGAAGGAGAGCAAGAAAGAGATCTTCCACCTGCTGTTTCACTCTTCAAATACCCTACCACAGCCAGGAACTGGCAACTCCATCCGGGTCTCTCAGACTAGGGGCAGGAACCCAAGTGCTGGGGCCACCTTGCCTCCCAGGGAGCAGGGCAGAAGAAAGCTAGAGTTTCTGAGCTTGTGGCTACTCTGGGAGGGACAGGTGGCCGGCGGGTGACCTCCCTAGGTGAGGATCTGTCCCAGGTGGTGGTGGTGGGGGGTGACGGTGCCTCTGCCCATAGTGATGACTGATTTCTTCCGGTCTTTCCGGAAGATTTCCCCTGCTGGAACGCAGTGTCCTCGAAAGCTGGCAGAAGTCGCAGAGCAGGTCCCCAGCCTTGACAAAAGGATTACACTGGAGGGAGGGTTCTGTTTGTTTGGGACTGGCATTGTGGAGTTGTGTCACAACTGTGACACTGCCACCCCGTAATGGAGTGCAGGTTCAAGTCCCAGCTACTCCACTTGTGATCCTGCTCTCCACTAATGCACCTGGGAAAGTAGCCGAGGATGGCCAAGGTCCTGAGATCCCTGCACCCACGTGGAAGACCATGATGGGATGGTGCTCCAGGCTCCTGGCTTCAGCCTGGCCGAGCCCTGGCTGTTGCAGCCATCTGGGGAGCGAACCAGAGGATGGAATATTTCTTTCTCCATCTCTCTCTCTCTCATACCTCTGAATAAATAAATCCTTGAAATTTACTTATTTATTTGAGAGAGAGATAGAAAAAGACACACTTAAAGAGATGGAAACTGTAAAAGAGGGAGCATGTGTTTGCCATTCACTGGGTCATCCTCTCATCCCCAAATGCCCACAGCAGCTAAGACAGGTCCTGGTCAAAAGCAGGAGTCAGGGGCTCAACTCAGATCCCCCACACATAGGCAAGAGTCCTAACTAGTTAAACCAGCACCCACTGCCTTGGCCCCCACTCCGCACTGGCACAAAGCTGGTGTTAGGAGTGGGCACCAGGGGTCCATCTGGAATTTGCAATTCTGAGGCAGATGGCGAGGACCCGGAAGGATGGCCCTTCTGCTTGGTGAGGACGAGGTCTTGGGACACCCTTGGCTCCAGTGTAGGGAGGAAAGCAAAAGCAACTGGTTTTGCTTCTACCCAGCCAGCGAGCCAGACAAGTCGGCCAGAGAAGGGCGGGTCTGAGCAAATCCGTGTGGGGGAGGCAGAGGAGACTGGGAGAGCCCCGAGTGACCTCTCTGTTTATCATCCTCTGCCAGAGGAGTCCCATGGGGACTGTCTGAACCCAGAGCTTGCCAAAGCTCCTTTCCCTCCTCTTTCAGGAAGTTCTCCTAAATTTTTCCTCAACTCCTTCTTGCCCTTGTAGCCTGGGACACTCTAGGTTTGAGCCTGGAAGGCTGGCCAAGGCTCTGTAGATTGCTTAAGAGTGTGGGGGTCACTCCTGACTGCCTGCAGGCCTGGAAGACCCGAAGCCTGGACTCTGGAAGTGTTGGCATGAAGCTGCGTAGAACTGAAGTTCACCCATCCAGGCTCAAAATATTGGATAAGTTTTATGGCCCAGACTGGTCACTGTGCCTTTCTGAACCTCGGCTTTGTGGGGAGGTGGACGTGCTTAGGAGTGAGTTGGCTCTCACTGTGGACTCTCAAGGGTCTCCTGTGAGTAACAGGAAGCCAGACAGAGAGGATGACGGAGTTGGGGGAGAGACTCCCCAAGTCCCATCTGGGGTGGTTAGGAGTGGAGGCACTCCTTGGGGGAGGTAGGCTGGGAGGCCAAGGTAGGGCAGGGTGGGACTGCGTGGCAGGTGGAACCCTGGTTCCTTACACGGACCTTAGGCTGAAGGCAGCAGCCCTGAGTAGAAGTACCTCTGGCATGGTTCCCGGGGCTGGGGTGGGGGGCCGGCCACACCCCGCGTACTGGCCCGGGAGTGCACGGGAACCTGAGAGAGGCCCGGCTCGGCCGAACCGCCCTGCAACAGAGACACACAGAGTGAGTCACAGACGGGGGCAGTTGTCCTTCCTGGGAGTGCCTCTCCCACTCCTGGGGCCAGGCACCTGGCTGGAATTTACTCCCCAGAGAGTTGGACATTCAGCAGGGTGAACAACAGCACACTCCTTCCCCTGAAGGAGGTGGCCGGCTGTGGCCTCTCAGTTCCCCCAGGGACTCATCTTTGCAGATACCTGTTTTCTGGAGGCTTCTGGCCTCAGCTCTATGCCCCCTGCCAGGGTCTGGCAGGTGGCACCTCTCCCCAACCTAGGAGGCACAGAGGGGAGAAGAAAGTGCCTTATAAAAACTTGGAGAAGAGGCACAGTTACCTAAACCTTTCCCCTAGGCTTAAAAACCCTAAGTAGGGGAAGCCAGCGTCTCCTTCACCACCACCCAAAGCGACAACACAGCGCTTATTAAAGTCACCCCTCAAAGATCAGGACCTGGCCAGCTCTCTCTCCTGACCTGATATCCAGCCAACCCCGGGGACTTGCCCAGAGGGGCCACACCACTCACCTCCTCCTGGGCAGGGCACTGGCAGGTAGCCGGGCACGCACCCCCTCCACTCCTATGCGGCTAAGGCATGGTGCGTCTGGGAGCCGGCTGCCGCTGTGCCCCAGGTTCTGGGTGATGAGGCAGCGGGGCTGGGCATAGCGTGGGGACCCGCCCCAACCCGCCCCCGGGCTGCAGGTGAGGTGTGGCCCCAGATACCTCTGACCCACCTGGCACAGGTCCCAGCTGCCCACCTGCGTGACGCTTACATAACAGGGGTGTGAGGCAGGTGAGGTACCTGCCGGTGCGGGTCGGGAGACAGTGTTTTGGCAGCGATCCTGGGAGGAGCCTCAAAAGATGCTCCTCCCTGTGGCATGGGGTCCCCCCGGGGGCTGGGAGGGAAGCTGACGTGTGTGTGTGTGTGTGTGTTTAACCACTTTTACTTTGTTAATCACGTGTGCCATGTCAAGCTTGTCTCTTCTTCAGACCCCCATTGGGCAAGGGTTTTTTTGTTTGTTCTCCCTGAAAGGACCCATTTTCCGGATGTGGTGGGGGAGGCCGGGAGAAGGACCCTGGCCTGCTGCGTTTTACCCTTTGTTAACATCGTAAAAAAAAAAAGGCCAGCCCTCATTCTGGTACCCGCCTCCAGAGGGTTCCTTGTTCCCCAAAAACAGATGTCCCCACACCTGGAACTTGGCCTTCTCGTGCCCCCGTGCCCCCTCCCCCTGCCGCCTCTGCTCCCAGGCCTGGCCAGCAGGTAGTCAGCAGCAATTGGTCTCCTTCCCACCCACCTCGCTCAGTTCCCTGAGGTGTGCGGCTGGGCCTCTTTGGAAAGTGCACCCACCGCTTCCTCTCCAATCACCACCTGCAAGCTTGGGGCAGGGTTGGTGGGAGGAACTCGAATGTAATGAAAAAACCAAGGCAGCCCTGGCGGGGATGAGGGGGTGGATTCTGAAGTCCCTATTTTAAGGCAAGGTGTTGCTGTGGACAGGGGTTTTTAAAAGGCCTTGAATCTCGTGGGGGGTGGGAGGCAGATCTCCATATTGCACATGGAGATCAATGCCAGAGCCCTGGTTCCAGATGGATCTGCCCCTCGCCACATTCCAATCCCCATGGCTGCCTTTCCCAGCCACCCTCACCCTCTGGAGTGCTGGTCCTGAGCCTTCAGTGGGTTATGCACCTGCTGGAAACTCTCTCTACCCTCAACACACCCCTTGTTCCCCAGGAATCCCCCCTAGGTGGGCCTATCCCTCTCCTCTGCTCCTGTTCTCCTGGCATCTGAGCCACGGGCACTGGGCCTCACGGGGCTGGAGATGGTGGTAGGGATGGCCTTATTCACCTCACACAAGCTGGAAACCTGTACCCACATCCTCTGCCCCTCGTGGACTTTCCTCACCCAGGAAGTTGGTGCAGGGGTTTGGCATGATGCCAATGAGAGATGACCCTGAGGATGCTGCCATTCTGCCTCAAGTGCCTGGGGTTCAAGTCCTGGCTCTGCTCTCCACTCCAATTTCCTGTTATGGTGCACCTTCTGGGGAGACAGCAGGTAAAGGGTAAAGTGCTTCTTCCCTGAATGCACACGGGAGGTCTGGATTGAGTTCCTGGCTATCGGCTTTGGTGTGGGCCAGACAGTTCCTTGAAGGCATTTGGGGAGTAAATCAGTGGGTGACAGCTCTCCTCCCCCCCCTCCAGTGTACACTCTCACTCTCTCACTTGCAAATAAACAAAAATGTTTAAAAAATCACTTGGGGACTAACACTGTGTCATATCCCATATGGGCACTGGTTCGTGTCTTGGCTGCTCCACTTCCCATCCAGATCCCTGCTTTTGACCTAGGAAAGCAGTAGAGGATGGCCTGAGTCCTTGGGTCCCTCCACCAACATGGGAGACCAGGAAGAAGCTCCATATTCCTGTCTTTGACCTGGCTCACCCCCAGCTTTTGTGGTTATTTAGGAGGGCAAAACAGCAGATAGAATATTGTTTTCTCTCTCTCTCTCCCTCTCTTTGTAATTCTGACTTTCAAATAAGTAAAGCAAATATTTAAAAAAAAAATCAAAGTGGTTTGAAAATTTCAATAGTTAGAAAGCCAGCACATGGATCTTTCCAGAGTCAGGTGGGCCTGGGCATGTATCGTTTTTCCTTTCCTTTTCTCTGCAGAACCATCTCTTCCAGGAAGCCCTCTGGGAGCTTCCTCTTGGAGCTTCCCCAACCCATGCCCTCCCAGAGAGCTCAGCACTAAGGGACCAGGGGGCCGCTTTTGTGATTGCTCCTTTCCCAGAACCTGGCGCCAGGAGCGCTGTGCCCATGCCTGCCTGGGCTGGGGGCGGTAGAGGGAAGAAGCCTGGATGTGGTCTAAGAATGATGGGCACAGGCCCGGCGTGATAGCGTAATGGTTAAGGTCCTCGTCTTGAACGTGCCAGGACCCCATATGGGCGCCGGTTCTAATCCCAGCAACTACACTTCCCATCCAGCTCCCTGCTTGTGGCCTGGGAAAGCAGTCGAGGACAGCCCAAAGCCTCGGGACCCTGTACCCGCGTGGGAGACTGACAAAGACACCGTCAAGGTCACCGTGGGGCACTGGAGTGGAGTGTGGGGCAAGGGAGCTCTGTGAGCCTAGAGGAGGAATCTTGCCCAAGGGCAGGAGCTGGAATCTTCCATGTGAGGCAGAGGGCAGGGGCCCTGGGCAATAGAGAAGCTGGGGGGTTGGGGAGGGGCTGGAAGAGCTAGTACAGCAAGGCCTTGGCGACAGACCCGGGCTGTGGGCCACTCCAAACCTTGATTCCTGGGCTCACAGCCCTAGGGCCTCAGGCAGAGACAGTGACCTGCTGGGGATCCAGGGTCTCCTCAAAACTGTGAAAGCAGATCATCACCCCTTTACTTCCCCCACCTGCATCCACCTGAGGAATGCATTCATGCTAGGTACTCTGGTTCCCAAGATGACACAGGCCCAAGGGTAGCATGTTTTTAGGAGGCCTCATCATCTCCCAGGACCCATGGCAGCTTCTCCTTGGGCCCCTGCCGCGGTGGGCGGAGCAGTCTAGCCAGCCAGTTCGCTTCTAACCCAATTGCCAGGGCCTGGAGTGTCCCAGAGGCTGAAGCCGAAGCCCACTGCCTGGAGCTGGCCATGGAATACGTGCAGCCAACAGCCTGCTGGTCCCGGAGGGTCCCTGGAGCCTGGGACACCCGACTTCTCCCCCAGCCCAGGATTGGCTTCAGGGGTATGAGATTGGGCAAGAACCTGGATGAAGAGGACGATGAAGACAGGAAGACCCTGAGCAGGGGTCAGGCTATACAGCAGCAGGAGACTGCTCTCTTGCAGGGGTGGGACTTCTTTTTTTCTCCCAAGGGTCATTTGGACATTTATAGCCTCATTTATAACAGTAGCCTTCGAGATGAGCCTGTTGTTGCTTTCTGGAATTTTGAGTCCCCACCTGCCCATTGCCTTGGCAGGGCCACCAGACCAAATGATTTCCGAGGATCTCCTACCCCTTAAAGGAATTTTATCTTGCTTTTATTTATTTATTTATTTTTCTAGCCAACAGCTACCATTTACATCATATCTGCTGGGCAGTATTCCAATTATTTTATATATGTTAGCTCACTGAACCTTCTCAATAATCTTATCAAATAGGCACTGAATTGTAATCCCATCTGATGAGGAAGTAGAAGCTGGAGGCAGAGATGGAGGGACTTGCTGAAGGTTACACGCTGGTGAAAGCGAGAGTCAAGACGCAAAGTTCAGTGGACCAGGTCCAGATTTCATGCGCTTACCCCTTCACACACTCCTCCCAGCTCCATCCACATGCCTCCCTAACACAAGATTTTGCCAACCACAACTCACTGGCAAAGACAGAGCACGGTGGCTTAAAGATGTTAGTTAAATGTGCATGTATTCTTTAAAAAGAATTATTTTGTTTTTATTTGGAAAAGCAGATTTACAGAGAGGAGAGACAGAGAGAGAGAGAGAGACGTCTTCTGTCTGCTGGCTCACTTGCCAAAGGGCTGCAATAGTCAGAGCTGAGCCAATCTGAAGCCAGGAGCCAGGAGTTGCCTCTGAGTCTCCCACATGAGTGCAAGCGCCTACAGACTTGAAGCACCCTCTGCTGCTTTCGCAGGAAGCTGGACTGGAATCAGAGCAGCCAGACACAAACCAGTGCCCATATGGGAGGTACCCAGACTACAGGATGCCAGCGTCGCAGGCAGAAGCGTGGCTCACTGCATTTCAGTGCCGGCCCTGAATGAATACGCATTTACAACTCTTCAACTTCACATACTGCTGATTCCCGTCAATTCCCATTCAGTCCGTGCTATGCAGCACACAACACAGAGCGACCGGACACCCGGACCAGTCGCAAATGGGAACAAAAGAAAAAAAAGTAATCATTCCAAACAAATCCTCATAGGACACAGATGTTGTGGATTCACAACAGCTCTTAAGAAACACATAAAAATTCAAAGGACAAACCGACATAACTGGGGCACAG